GACCGCAGTTTCAGACCCTTTAACTTTAGAGTTGAATGTCCCAGGGAATATTCACAACCGCTTTCATGTTGAGTTGGTAAAGCGGGCAGGCGCGGACCCATTCCCGAGTCATCGGCAGGACGATGCACAAAATCCCGCTATTCTTGATGACCTGGATGAGCAAGAATACGAAGTCGACTCGATAATTAGAGCAAGAACGGTGAGACGCAGCCGTGGTAACTTCAGACAAGCTCTGGTAAAGTGGACTGGATGGGTAGAGCCGACATGGGAGCCGATTGAATACATCTCAGACATGGAGGCTTTAGGGATATTTGAAGACACCTATGGTCCAATAACAACCAATAATGGCCACTCAGAGAGTGATTCAGGTAGATACATTTGTCAGGCCGAGCCTCACGTCCAAAAAATGCGAAGAGAACGCCGAAAAAAAGGGTTATTTAATAAGTAAAATATCTTTCCCTTGAGGAAGAGAAGGGAGGTTGTAACGGCTGTTAAGCCTAGGGATTCCTGTAGCCTACGCTAGCTAGCGCAGACAATGAATGCAAGGGAATCTTCGGGAAGGATCTCGGAATACAAGGAGCTTAGAAGATTCTCAATTAACCTTCTGGAAGCACACTGAAAGTTCATGAGGACAACAGGTGTATCAAGAATCTTCTAGGGTATTGTCGAGGAGTCATTGTTATTCTAGACATATGGAGAACCTTACAGAAGAGGAGTATCTCAGAGTATATGTATTTGTACTCTAGCTATAGGAGTTCTCTCTCTAGAGAATAATTACTAATATACTGTACTTACAAGATCGCCCAAGCATTTTGTACTGAAACCGTGACAACTGATCATTAGTACTAACAACATACGGAGAAGAGGCGGTGCGCTAGTGTAAACAATTTTGTCCACGAGGAAGCTGGCAAACTTCAGAGCCGTCCGCTTCATATAGTACCCGATGTTTATCCCATCCATCCCGAAGATCATGAAGCCACCCAGAATAAATGTTCAGTGGGAAGCCAGGAATGTAGAGAACATTTTCAAGGACAATCTCATTGACTGAAACATCTTGCCGGAGAACGCGAAGCTTGATGTAGCCAAGCCCGACAGGCTGAACTAGACCTCCCCTGTTTTAACAAAAGGCAACCCAGATACTGGCCGATAACGGAAGAGCGCGTTTATATCATTAGTGATATGAACTGAGGCACCATCATCATGAAGCCAGATATCACGAGAACTCACAGTCAGGACTGCTGCAGCAAATGCGGAATTAATTCCAGTTCTGGTCGAGCACAGATGATCATCCTCGTTGCGAAAGTTACATTTTTGTTGGTTTAGCTCTATCTGAAATGGGGACACTGTATTAGCCTTTTGTTGACTCTTCGCGAAAGAATTGTAGGTGGGATTTGATAGTGTTCTCAAAACTCCCGCGCAACCTTATTGGAAAGGACTTGGATTAAAATTGTTATGGCCAGGCATCCTTGAAGAGGTTTCAAGGGGAAGGTTCTGAGGAAAAAGTGATAAGAGAAGGTTTTGAGAAAGGTTTTGGGAAAAGGTTTCCGGGAAAACTCCGACAGTTAGAGATGGAGGGGCTGGCGTCATGACAGCATTTGTCATAGTCTTAGTTGAGTTTAAGGAATATCTCGAGTAACACTTAAGGAAGCTGGAGCTGCCACAAAGTAGCTCTCCAGCTTCTCCATCTTTCATTCTTTTGATCTTTGATCTTGCAATCTAGATTTACATAATGTTATAATCTTATATTCTTAAAGTCCGATATTCTCAGTCTTTCGTTATTTATTACATTCTTCGTACTTCTGTTCACCCTGAGTTATCAGCCTTGATTGCCTGCTCGTCAACTCGACTTCTTGACTTCGTGTCTTTCGACTATTCTGTAGTTCTACAACCTTTGACTACCCGGCACCTCGCCAATCGAATCATATCTAAGTATCCTTAGTTAGCAACTGTAATCCTAATAGTTATTACTACTGCCAGGCTCGTTGGCTAGTTCGGAGGTCAAGGGTCGGAACAGGACGGAGTCGGGACGGATGTAGTCGGGACGGACGTAGTCGGGACAGGATGTGATCAGAACGGGACGAGGGCGAGACAAGACGGAGACGGAACGGGACGGAGGCGGAACGGGACGGAGGCGGAACGGGACGGAGGCGGAACGGGACGGAGGCGGAACGGGACGGAGGCGGAACGTGACGGAGGCGGAACGTGACGGAGGCAGAACGTGACAGAGGCGGAACGTGACAGAGGCGGAACGTGACAGAGGCGGAACGGGACGGAGTCGGGGTATAAGGTAAAGCTTATAATAATCGGGTCAATCTAAAGTCTAGAATAATTACAAGACAAAAAGCTACAGAACAAATCCAGTCCTAGACCTTCCTTAAGTACTCAAGAGCGGCTACTACAATCAGGGTTATGGTAGTCTACAGCTATAACACAGCAACTGATTGCTTATGTTGATTAGTAACTGTTGCTATCATAACATTGTAACCATTGCAACGCATTGACTATGTTACTAGGGAAGCTCCTGACTTGGTTGACCAGACTAAGCGCAGCATCTCAGCATTAGCCCATGGCACAATGGTAGTGACAAGCAGGCCGTTTTCCTCGTGGGAAAGCCGGTCTGTGACAACTACCTTACCTTCGGCAGATGGCGATCTCCAGTATCCTTAGCGCACGCCGTAACAAAAATCCACAAAATATTGGTTACCAGCAGTACAACTTGAGGACGATTTTGATGGAAAGAGTGCTGGCTGAACGTGGTTGTTAGTATCCTTTCGAAATGGATCATAGTTCTCAAAACGGGCATCAAAGCCAGAGTAATGAGTGGAAAGTTTGCTAGATGGGTGACATTTTTGAAACTCAGAATGCCACTTTTTATTTTCGGTATACAAGGCCCTAGGAAATCTCTTCATATACTCTGCACGCTGTTCTAGGTATTTAAACAAGCATTTCATGTCATCATGCGGACCAGTACACCATTGGCAGTTGGGACCATCCCACTTCTTGTTTCTCTGAAACTTGGGACCTGTAACATGAGCTTGTGCGAGAGGTACTGTAATAGGCGCTATGCTCTCAGCCAACTAATGTGGTCTTGGAGAGTTGTATATAGAGTGTCAAGTGTAGATTGACAGAAGTTGCAACAGAAAAGTGGTATCTTTGGGTGGATGCCCATTGTGGGTATTTTATGGATACCGCACGGATTAACACCAGACAGTATACAAGAGATGGAAGAGGTGTACCGAGAGAATGAAGACTAGAGACCATCGATTTATAAGCCAGAATATAAGCCTGGCAGGATGAATACTTCTCAAAGTTCTCTGTGAGGTCGAGGAAGTCGGTGATGTTTGTTTCAACAGCAGCAATGATGTTTCCTTGAAGAAAGCAACAAAACTTTTTATAGCTGTTGCAGGCTAGATTTTCGGCCATGACAACCTGATTGAATTCCGGATCGACGTTGATTGCCAGTGTCATTTTGACAAGCTTGTTTGTATTGAAGGGTGGTGATGTATATGGTTGTATACACTTGGTATCTTCAATTAAATGGTTGTGACTACTCAGGGGGCTTAGAATAGACTTGGGTGATTATGGCAAAAAAATGTTATGGGATGCGAATGGTATCTTATTGTGTTATTATATTATGTTATGTTACAGGTTATGTTCATGATAATTAACCAATCCCACATACTTCCAGATAGCGCCGTAGCTAGTCTCTTTTAGGAGAGATCTACGGGTGAATGTAGCGATCGGTGGTATCTAATTTATCACTAACCTGTTTCCATTTCCCTGGCTCTGCGTGCTACACTACGTGGATGACAATTTACTACTAATGTGAAAAGCGCATTCATGACAGTTTGAGCTGGACCAATCTTTAGAGCCAGTTTCCTTTTCAGACTTGTAAATAGCTTCAGTCTTTATTGGGACAATCCAATCTGAGAGAGCGTTTTGTCGCAAGGTCGATTACATGAGAAGCATCCAGTCTTTTGGGTTAGCGATGCCATGAAGTTTCAACGCTAGAGGGAGTGCCATATTGTTGGCGCGAAGATTAGATGGTGCCATGTTAAAGAGGAATGAAAGATTCAAGATGTGAGAGTGGCGAGCCAGAGATACCTTGTTCAATAAAAACTGAAAGGTAGAGGCGCAGATGTAGATAGAAAACAAGGACACCGTAATACTAGAAAGTGATTGGTGAATGGTGAATGGATGTCACAGTCTAAGCATAGGCACTTGAGCAACCTTATGGTCAGAGGTAGTTTATTTTCAATCTATGGTGAACTACAGATTGAAGAGGATAATAACAGTTACTTTATACATGATTATTATCCAGGCCAATGACACAGTTTTCTATCCGTATATCCGTATCCCATCTCGTATCCCATCTCGTGCCCTATTCTTAGAGGTGTTTGCCAAGTTATAAGACCCTGCTTCCAAGAATAGTCCCTGCCTAGTTTCATGCTAAGCCTGCGTTTGACAGCGCAGGCTACAGGCAATTACCGGCTTACAAGCCGTCACAATGGAACCGTAAACAGAAGAACAACGGATGAATAAATTGTGATTCCACAGGAAACGCAAGGGTTATAACCTCCTAAGAAAGATACATGGGACACAGTATTAAGTTGTAAATGTTGACTAAAGAGCCCTGTAGCTACAGATGAAATATATGTACTGCTATGAAGGTCATGTGACTTGTCTAGCTTAGTTTGCATGAGTAGGTGAAATGTTACCCCTAGACAGTTTAGAGAGCCATGATTTACCGAGAATTATATCATACCGAACAATGCAAGTGATTTGAAAATTTGAAATTTCCTAGTGGTTTGCAATTGACAGCATGAAATCAATTTCGTGGGTAATAAGTCCCCAGGATGATTGTCAAACATCCACTACGCTCACCACAAGTGGTATCTTCTTCTTCCTTGAGATGAGATTATTTTTCTTTACAAAGAGCTCGTCAATGAACGAAGTTGAAGCTCTTGAATCTAACATTGTAAGAGCTTTTATACTATTTTCTAAAACAGATGTGATTGTGAGGGTTTTTTCATTCCCCAAGTCAAAAGAGTGAATTTTGGATTTATTGTAGAGAGATACAGCAGAATGGTAAAATTTGTTTGATCTAGATATTTTTTCATGGTGATAGGAGATTGGGTCCTCAGATTCCACACTTGATTGCTTTGAGAATAAGCTTTGATTTGGGCGAGAAAAAATATCGGGGCATGTAGGTATTTTATGGCCTTTATTTCCACAATAGGCACACAATCCATGTTTCCATCTAAAGGCCTTTCGAGCTGCTCTTTCCGCCTTTACGATGTCTAGCCAATTTGTATCAAGAGTTGGTGAATCTGGGGCAGGTGACAAAGAATTTAATGGCATGGAAATATTCGAAAATCGGTGTGACTGAGCGTTCTCAAACCTTGTATATGTTTTTTGGATCTCCAGCTCCTTTTCACGCTGTCGAGCGTATAGCTGTTTATCTAGGGATATACATAGGGCCGCATATTCCGCAAACGATTCAGGTTTATCCATTCCAACTAATGCGTCCTTGATATTTTCCCTTAACCCTTTTCTGAAGTGGTGGATGAGACATTTCTGCTCAGACCAGCCGAGTCGAGAGAATGTTGATAAAATCTTAGCAAAGTAAGTCGAACAAGAGCCTATTTGACATATAGAGTTTAGTTCCCTCTCCGCAGTTGAGTACGGGTCGGGGTCGTCAAATGCACTTCGGAGAGCGTCAATGAAAGTAGCGAAAGATTTAAAGGATACATCACTGTTATTTTGGCTAACATGAGGCTTAAACCACATAAATGCCGGACCAGTGAGATATGATCCAGCCAATAGAATCCGGGATATATCCGAACTGAATGCAGATGGATTTGAACGAAATAATAGTTGCAACTGCGTCATGAAATAGCCAAATTGTGACCTGGTTCCATCAATTTATCAGGGTTGGGAAAGTTGGGAATAGAGGAGTTGTGGGTTTCAGAATATGGTGAAGAGTGAGTGATAGGTTGCGAGGCTCGGATAACAAGTCCTTGTCCAAGAAAACTGGTGTCATTGATTCCTTGTTTCTGTATATCCGTACAGGGAGTAGGATACAGCTCACTGTAGTTGATTACAGTTCCAGATTCAGAAGGCTTGCCTGCGATGAAGGCACGGCTAACTATATGCCGTATTTCTGCAGGCACATCATTTAGTATTACGAGACCAAGAAGGGATGATTGAGACATGATGGTTTCACAGCTGTCCATTATTGATTTCGAAGCCTGGTCCTCCATGGACATTGTGGGTGCTCAAGTTGTGAGTCGTGCTAATTGGTGAGTTGAATTTTGCAAAATTTAACAGCTGGTATGTGGAGAGATAGCCGTCTTCGAGTTTGGGAACTGGCTGATGTTGCATGAGAGTATTTCAAAGTGGACAGGGACAATTATAGCTTGTGGACTAATAATAGAGATTGCAAAACTACAGAACCACAGTCTCTTAAGGGTATCAAAAGTACAGTTGTCAAAATGACTGGGGCTAGATCCCTGTACACATTGCCTTAATTGGTATGGTCATCATGCAGGCCCATGTCTAGTTTGTCGACTAGTTTTGCAAGCAGGGGTACTATCCAACAATATTCCATGAAAGTCAAAATTTATGGGGACGGTTTTCAACACCAAAACAGATGGACAATAGTCCTCATTTAAAATTAAAAATTTTAAAAAATCAATTGATGTTATCTACATATACACATCTATTTCAAAAATAATTGCTCTGTATTACAAAAGTATACATCGAAGCCCTGAGTATGGCTCGCAACTAAAATGAAAGCGTACTTCATGTTTAGTGTAATTCTGCTCCATCCCAATACTTTGTGAACCCTCCATTTTCCTTTATCACTGCTATACATCTTTCGTGCATGTTAACCACACTTAACGGAAGCTTCTTCCGAGCAATGCTTCTGCTGTTACCTCTTTTTTTGAGGGCAATAGAAATTAACCCCTCACTGCATCCCTAGTGGCTGAAAGGTCCCATTGCTAGTTTCAAATAGCACATCTGTCAATTATCAGGAGATTCCCGGACAAAAGCCTCAAGCTCATAAACTTGTTCCGCGCTTAATTTGTGTGAGCATCCTTTGCGAGGCATAGGATTCTCAATCTCTCATGCACACGCAAGTTGCACTTACCTTGTTGTGAAGCCAAGTTCGTCGGATATATGTTGTAATGTCAGGCCAAGTCTTCTAAATACTCTTATTTCAATACATAGATTGTGAGTTAGATGCCTGCGAACTTTAGTTTCTGAAGCAGACTTTTCGAGAGACATTGTTTGCTAGAATAGAGGATGACTTGATAGTAATGTTAAGAGTTAGAGGCTTTGTTGGTTAGGCGGTCAACAGTGACGTTGAAAATTTGTTTCTCCAAGCAATTGTTGGGATGGGACAAGTGCACCATATTTCATGGCGAGCAGGGTAATGACGAAAGACAGTCTAACTTATTGCGAGCTAGCCCAACTGCGCCAACAGGGCTAATCCCTTAAACAGCCCAGTTTCAAGTCTAACATTTTGGATCCTAGAGTCACAGCAGACAAAATAGGCGTGAGCCTGCATGAGGACCAAACCAATCAAATCAAATAAACTGGGATCTACCCGCAGCTGTTTTGACAATTGCACAATTTCAACCCATAAGAGACTGTACCGTGGTGCCACAATTTCAAGTTTTCAAAGGATTTATATAGGGCGCGTATTCGCTTCAGGGGTTGCACCCCTGTCAGCGCCTATTTTGACAGGGTTCATATCCTTGTTCTGGATTTACAGGCCTAAACCAAGAGCACAATTTGATTTCATGTCACCCTCAATTTCGTGCAATCTCAACCTGTTCTCTAGTTCTTTCCCATTGCTTTGACAAGCGCCGACCGCTAAAAATTTACTCAGCTCTTCTCACCATGTGCTTGAGTTACAATAAGAATTAGATTTCTCAAATACAAAGCTATTTATTCAGAAGACACATGGCTATACTCAATAATAACCTTATTTTGCAGATGAATCCACCTCAAACCCCACCTATAACACCTTGAATCAAACAATTATCCAGAGATCAAACTATTTTAGCAAGTAGAAAGATTAGATATGAACAAATATAAATTAAAATAAAAATTAAGATTTATGGGCTCCATGAATCTGCCAAAAACTAGACGCAGATTGCTGCGCAACTAGGCATTTCTCGGGGATAAGTCAGTTATCCACTGCGGCGCGGAACTGTCTTCCCAAAAAAGAGAAAAAGAACATTCTCAAGGCTGAAAGCAGATGATGTTGATCAGATTATATTGTACGTTGAGTCTTCACCTGCAATCCACCGCAAAACATTTCTGGAACTCGCCTCTGGCCCCTTTAGACATCTTGGTGTTAGCGAGCGGGTAATACAAAGAGAACTTAAAAAAAAAGATTATTGGTGACATTTGGCTTGTCTAAAGCCTCCAGTATCTCAAAAAACTTTGAAGACACGCAGTGAATGGGCCGAAGCTCATCTCAATTGGAAATATGAAGACTGGACGTCAGTTTTATGGACAGACGAAACATGGGTAGAGGATGGAAGACATTCTAGAGAACGGGTGACAAGAAGTGTTCGTACATTCCTCAATAAGAAGATAGTAATTCGATGTTCTTACATTATGAGCTAGACTTCCAAAGAATACAACACTGATTCTGTTGGAGAAAAATCGAAGAAGAGGGTCGGATGGATGCCCTGTGGTTGCTTTGCAGGGCCAGAAAAAGGCCCTTGTTTGTTTTGGGAGAAGGAATGGGGTTCCATTTGTTGTAATCTAACGCTTTTCATCCTCGGACTTCATGGTGAGCAGTAGTTGTATAGCACGTGATGCCATGCGGGGGTGAAGGAAGAGGATGGCGAAAGCCGCTAGCCAGATCTCAGAGATCTGGCCCACTTGTAGATGGAGAAATCCTTTTTGTATATAGACAATACAACCCTAACTAGTATAACAACAATAGTAAGGAACTCATACATCCGCACCTCAGTTATCTCATACATCGTGACCCATAAACCTCACTCTCATATCTATCACTCCACGTCAAAGCTACAACAGGTTATAGCCCGGTTAGCACAAAAACCACCGCCAAAATGTCACTCTCATCAACTCAGGCAAACATTGGACAAACCCCAATCTCACTCAAGCTCGACCGACTTCCGATACTGACCGGTGGTGAAAACTATTGCAGATGGGTTGGCAGTTGGGAGATAACTTTTGATGCAATGGGATTGCTTGACTTCTTGACAAAGGAGACACCAATAAAATCTGAAATACAATCAGATGAGTTTCAAAAGTGGCACAATGCTAACAAACAGCTTCGGGGCCTCCTCCTGAACGCTGTTGATGAATCTTTGCAGACCATGGTGATAGACTACCAAACAGCAAAAGAGGCATGGGAACAATTATTGAGGAAGATATGGTTAGAAGACTGTACTGCTGGTAAATTCCTGAAGCTTATTATGTATGTTGTTTTACTACGAAGTTCTACACCTACAATACACTCTATAGACCCTAGTTTAGACCAGCTTACAAATCAAGTCACATGTATTCTAGGGCTCAGTGACTGATACTTCAACAACAATTCAAAGCACGATTCGATCGAGAAACTGCAAGTTCCACTATTTCCCTACTCAAGGCCGTCACTGATCTCACATTACGTGACAGAGATAATATATCGGAATACCTTTCAACCTTCAATGATACCTGGAACCGCCTCCGAAACCGCTCCCTACACTCGACTACGTCTCTCACCAAGGCATTCAAAGACCTGACCTCGTCGGAGGACGCAAAAGGTGCCTTTCTGCTGTCCTCCTTGCCCAAGTCCATGGAAAATGTCATCGATAACCTTGTGACAAAAGAAATCACCACTTACGACGGTGTATCCTCTAAACTCCTAGACATGTCGGCAAATCGAAAAGCCTCCAACTTAGATGACAAGGCTCATCAAGTCGCGAGACAGGAGATTGAAGAATGTTCATGGTGTAAGAGTCGCAAATATAAATACGAGGGGCATAATTTCAAGGAGTGTTGTAAGCTAAAAGCGCACAAGCAGAAGAAGACAGACAGGAAAAACGCTGCCCAAATCGCCCACTCGTCGGCCACTGCTGAATCAGAACATCAAATATACTTTACGGCATTTGCGGCACAGTTTCAGACATCCTCGTCTCATCCAGAATGGATCTTCGACACTGGCGCATCGGCTCATATGACTGGATGTAAACGTGATTTTGAAACACTGATACCT